TCGACTTAAATAAAATAAGTAAAAAAACTAACTATTTAGCTAGCTTTTTAAATATCCTCTTCTGCGGATTCTTCTCTTATTTTCCGGAAATGCCACTCCTGAAATTCTTCTTCCCCTATTTCTCTTCGCAAAATAACCAGATTTTTAAAGTTTGGTTTGTTTGTGTTAAGAATAACGTCCTTTAAATGCCCGTTTTCCACGTATAAATCGTGGTTATACGAAACTGTATTAGGATTAAAATCCGGAAGAATAAAATCAAAAGCCCTTTGAATATCCAAAGGGCACCGGAAACAATTTGAAAAATAATTGTCAATATCGAATTTTTTAAAAGTTTGGTCCACGGACTTCAAAAAGTTACAGGCTTCTTTTTCGATTTCGGTAGGTGTTTTTTGTGGGATTTGGGCAATTTGTGCGTAAAGGCCTTGTTTGGGAGGTAAATTTGGCCTCCAGGAGTTTCCAGAAATTTCGAAAACAAAAGAATTCTTTTTAGAAACTTCGTCGGTTTGGATATCAATGTCTTCTCCTTGGGAAAGAAATAAAGTAAAAAGGGAAGAGAACCTAACGAATTTTAGTAGGTTTTCCGATACGGTGAGGTCGATAGGGCCGTGACGATCGTGATTTCCGTAGTAGAATTGGTGGAGTTTTTGGTGTTCTTGGGAGGGGTTTACTTTAAAGTCCGTAGGTAGGCCTTCGTTATAAACCTCGAAGTAGCGGGTGTTTTGGTGTTTTGGGGAAGAGTATAGGGGTATTACCCATATTCCGTTGTGGCGAGGAAAATGTGAGGAATACAACGATATTTTTTGTGTGTTTTTTTGGTTGGCTGGTTGTAGAGATATGCCAGCAAATGTGCACGGGGTTAAAGGTATATAGTAAATAAAGGGGTGGGAGGTATGAAAGGTTCTACCTCCAGCGGTAAAAATGAAAGGAAAATGGCGTTATAGTGAGAAAAACGCGGTGAATTGAGTGAGATTTTTTGTTGGTTTTTGTTAGGGCTTGGTGTGGCTGGAAATGAAAGAGAAAAAGAAATATCCCTTAAAAATAAAGGGAAAAAGAATGGAAAAGGTTAAGTGAAAATACGCCTGTAGTGAGAAAACATCAGGGAGTGCAAGGCTGAAACCCTTGTGTGGATAGCTGGAATGGTTGTAAAGATGTGTGGGGAAGTAGTTGGAAGTGGTGATGATCTTGAAAAACGAGGTTCTTCGAGGCGGCAAGGTCGGGCCCTTTATGCCTCATTGATGCTCTGCATTTTTTGGTGCGGAATTCGGGTCATTGCGTTTTGATGGGAGGTTGGGGGCCGGAAAAGAAGTGTTTTTCTTTTTATCTTTTTACTTTCTTTTATTGCGGAATTGGAAAAACTACAAAGGCACGAGTGGCTTAAGGGAGAGATAGATCGGGTAAAATCCTATTGGTGGGAACATGCATACCGCTTTTATCACGTGCATTAATTTGTTAGCGCAGAAGGGGCCATGCCGGTCGTCCCATGTTAATACGACGAAGTTAATACAAAAACGGAAGGTAAGAAGTATGTTGTGAATAACCGTGCACCTGGTTGGTTTAAGTGAGGGGACATGGCACGATCGCCAGCTAGCCTGCGTTAAAATTAAAGCTAAAAAGCCACGCACAAAATCGAAACAAGGAACTCGAACCGGGAACAAGTAAAGGGGGCTTAGTTCCTTAAATTAAACGTACATGGCACCGCGAAAACATAAGCACCATTAACACAGGCCCAATATACACACACGCGCACACTATAACCGTATTATTCCTAACCGCACTAATTGGAATTGCTTAAACTGTTATAATAACAACCAATTTGTTTAAAATCGCTAAATTCGTTAAGGCCCGCGGATCGCGGGATTTGTAATCCTGTGCCCTGCTAAGGCCTAGCCCCGGCGACGTTTGTTACCTCCCACGGGCGGCTACACAATGTCTCTCTCTCAGGAATTTAGCCTTAATAACGGGTATAAAGTCCTAGCAGTTTGACTTGAGATAATGTTACCCCCGCCGGTCACTTGGCTTGGTCCCGCCGGTGTTGAAGGAAATTTCGGAAAGGAATTACAAAATCGCTATGCCGTTATGTCGCATACGCAGTGCCCCGCCCCCAACCAAGGCCTTGTGGGTGGCGCTGGTGGCGCTGGTGGCGTGAGATGGCGCGAGATGGCATTGGTGGCGCACGGCGGGCGAATGGCATTAGTGGCATCTCTGTTACTTTTAGCGCAAGGTTTCGTCGCATTGCGAGGCGTGCCTTCAATCCACGTTCAATTTGATTTTATTAAAAAACAACGCTTTCGTGCTCGCCTTAAAAATTGCTGAGGTGTATTGGACTGTTTTCAGTAACATCGTTAAATTCGCTCGGTATTTGCAACTTCTTCGTTTTTACATTTCCCAAATAACCTTTACCATGTCGCCGCCTCGATTCCCCTATACGGTTATGGTACAGTGCTCACCTGGGTTATGCCAAATAACACCATTTTCGGCAAAAGAGCTAAGTCACGGTCCGTACCATATTAAACATAGCAAAAAACGGACCGATTGGAACAAGATGGATATATGCGAAAGCATTAACCGTAAGACCTACTTGCACTTGTTGTTATGGCGCGGCGTGCCCTCCGTGCACTTGCAGCCTTGTCTCTCGTGTGCGCTGGGTGTATGAGACCCCTATTACAATTAGGATGGCGGTCCTGATTGTCCTGGCTTTTTAGCAGAGGTGGGAGGGGTCTCCTTCTGTCTAACCGCCTTGACACTTGTCACATTGCATTGCACACAAACTAATTTTCAGTTAGGTTATGGTTATACCTACACTCCTGCATCCTTTGCATTGGTGCAAAATAAAGATCCAGTAAACTGGGTTGCACAAATTGTTGAGATCCGAAAATGGGGCGATCAGGTTTATCTCCTTATTTACTGGATGTACCGATACGAAGACCTTCCTAACGAGCATCGCGGCTTCTATCCCATGCCGGGCGAGCTTGTTGCAACCAACCATAGTGGGTTTTAAAGCCCCCTTCCGCCAAAGTTTAAAGTATTAACATGTAATTTAGTGGATGTTATTCTTGCTGAAAGCCTGGTGTCCGTCGCTAAAGTTTTTATGAAGTGGCGAGCGCCAAGGCTTACACAACTAGCAACACCGCCTAAAAGGAAGCACAAGGTAAGAGCCTTTGATAATAGCAACCTCCCCTCCGAAACTTTTTAACTGTATGTTAGGCGTACTAACATTTTTAACCTTAATAACTTTTTTTGGCAAGGAGTTTAACCCCAAGCCTCAACAAACGATTAAACCCGAAACCAACGAGGACACAAGCTTATACTGGATTCGAACGTACAACGTGTTCACGAAAAAGCTTTCAGCAGGGTTACGGCCGAGGCTACTACCTTCCTTAAAATATAGCATAGAAACAAACCAATGGTCGGCGGGACCAGGCAATCGCGGGGTCCTCCCAAATGATCGACCCAAAGCCATGGAAGCGCGGGATGGGAAGGTGTATTTAGGATCGGATTTGCGCTTAGTACGTGTGCCAAAAGCTCAATGGGAAGACGCAGTGGACTATTTACAGTCAGTTGCTCATGAAGCGCTTTCTATTAATTAGCATTAAATAAAAGGTCGTTAATGAAGGTCGCTTTACAGCCTTTCAATTCTTCTGCGATATATCCTGACAGCAAATACCTCCCGCCCGTTATCTTTTAAAGCCAGCCGGGCAACTTGTTATAAACAGGCTACTGCTCCTAAGGTAGGACACCTAGGGAGATGTTAAACAGTAACGCTTGTTAAGGGAATCAGGGGAATCTGGATATCCTGGATGCAGCTCTGGATGCTTACTTAAAGGGATGCTTTAGAGCAGAAGGAAGTCCTTCTTTCTTATACCCATTCCAACATCTACTTGTCACTACCTGATCGGTTTGATCAGTGGTGGCCAGTGTAGCTTGAACTGATCACTACTGATCCTTTTGGGTGTTCTGGGTGATCAGTCGGGGATAGACTGATCGCCTTTGATCACCCCTTAACTCCAATCTGTTGCTACGTGATTCCTTAGGAAGTGGGGTGGGAGAGCATCCGTTTTAGCTCCCTCCGGTGCCTTGGGCCACCGGCCCTCGCCCCGCCTCCAGCGCTTCTGACTGGTCTTAACAGGGCAATGAACGTTATAAACGGAAGGTAAGAATATAAAGGCCTTATTTAAAGGCTAAGTTTGTTAGGGGTGAGGGTGGGGTAAATGGAAGACCAGAATGGCAGACGAACCTCGGGGCGGGTGGTTACTTCTAGTCGGGAAGGACTTTAACTCGGGGCTAGCCAGACCACGACGACGGGGTTTTCCGGAGGTCGCGTTTGGGTCAGGAAACGAGGCTGGGGGAGGGGGGACCCGACGATAAACGCGGCGGTGAGCCCGGGATGTTCGGTCTACGGCGACGGGGCTACGTGCAACAAGCCCGGATTAGCTAATAACAGCAACCTGAAGCGAGGTCTTTTTTACCGGGCGTGTGAAACCGGGCTCGCGTCGCATGGAGGATTCCACCTGTGGAAGGTGAATGCAGGCAACACTGCCTGGAACGTGGATTGTGTTACTCTCTAGGCTAAAAGCCTGTGCAGGGCACAGGCCCGGGAGGACTAAATGGGCCTGGTAGGGCACGTGCATTGGGCGCGGGCCTACCTCCGACACCACCTTTTGCTCATGGCTTTGGGACCGTGGTCATTTTTGCGGAAGCGTGTCGGTGTTGCACTAGGCAAACGCTGGCGGCGTGGTGGCTTCGCACGGCGGCGGAGGGGTCGGAGAGAAGGCTCTGTTCGCGGCAGAGTACGAGGGAGACGAGTTATGTCCAAATCCCAGGCTAGAGCGCGAAATCCTGGCACCGGCGACCGAATTTGCTAGGCGCCAGCGTGATGTCGCCAATTCAACCCTACGGGCATATCGCTGCATCGTCTCTTTGCCTGATACAGATATCGTGACAAACAGCATTGTGTTGTGTCGGAAGGCCAGCCACATAATCCAACAGTTTGATGATAGCGATTGTCCAGGGCAAGCAATACCGCGAGCCTTTGGGCAGCGGAGCAGCTACGGGCGCTGCGGAGCGTGTGTAATCACTTAAATGGAGGGAAGACCGAAAGAATGGGCGGTTGCCGATGTTACAACCAACCAGCCTCACTACAAATGTAAGGGGCAAGTTCGAGAACCAAAACTGGGGCGAGGAAAACCCCCAAGGCCCGGCACAGCCGCAGATAGGGAGAGGGGCGGATGCGAAGAAAACCATGCATGTGGGAAAGCTGCTTTTGTATACCTAAACTGCGGAGCACAAATGGATTGAACGTTTAACGAGGGATGGAAATGTTATAATTTCCTACACAAACATCGCGACGTGGTGACTAACTGGCAGCTACACAAACCCCAGCAAATAGAAGAAGCAAATGCTGGTGGGCGTCGTGCGGCCTTTGGAAGAGTGCTTTAATGGCATGGTTCGCTTTGGGAGTGTCTCTTACTAGCAAAAAGGGAGGCTTTAGGAGAAAGAAAAGCCGTTCCTGGCGAGATTTAGTTGCAGATATGGTATTCTGGGGCAGCCGAAACCTAAGCATGCTTTTAGCGACTAGGCATGCTTTTTGCGCCTAGGCGTGCTTTTGCGCCTAGGCATAAATTCTTTTATGCCTAGGCCCCATTTCTTTTGCGCCTAGTGGTAACTAAAGGTGCCGTAACAATCTGTTACCACGCTTGCGCCTAAGCATAAATCTTTTCGTGCCTAGGCCCCAATTTTTTTACGCCTAAGCACGGTTTTCGCGCCCAGGCATTCTTTTTGCGCCTAGGCATAAATTCTTTTATGCCTAGGCCCCATTTTCTTTTGCGCCTAGTGGTAACTAAAGGTGCCGTAACAATCTGCTACCACGCTTGCGCCTAAGCATAATTTTTTTTATGCCTAGGCCCCATTTCTTTTGCGCCTAGTAGTGACCAAGGGTGCCGTAACCATCTGTCACCACGCTTGCGCTTAGGTCTTTTCAACTTTAACGACTCGGGCGACTTCCCGTGTGAGGAGATGTAGGAAGATTCTCTTCCTCTTTCCAAATCTACCAGACCCCGCTAGTATTTAGAAGTTTTTATAGCTACGTTTCCTATCCGAAACTCGGTGTCACGGGGATAGGCCCTTACTGTAGGCACGTGCAAATAGGCTAGATAGCGAGGGTGGGTCGGGACCCGCATGCGTGGAGATTTGCCTCTGTGCGCGAGTGACCCCGCCTCCGGCGGCGACCCTCTCTTCGACTTTATCGATACTTTACCCTACTACTTGAGATACCCCCATTGGCTCTCACACTCGGTTTACATAAGACCTCGTCTGCTCCTTGTTGGGACTGGTTCCAAAGTAGGGATTAAGGCATGTCAATACACTTCTTCACCCTCCTAACAGGAGGCCGCCATGTTCTCCTACCATTAAGGAGTTAATGCTGGCAAGGCTGGCGCTAGCGAGGCTGGGCAACGAAAATGCGACGCTGACGGTCATAAAGGCTTGTGGTCGTTCAGGAACATTGGTAGCGTCCCTCGCCTTTATTGGAAGCTCACACGTGCGTGGACGTGGCACGCAAAGTGGCATGCTGGCACGAAATGGCACACAAAGTGGCAAAAAATGGCACACAAAGTGGCAACACAAGGTGGCACAAAATGGCTTTGTATAAACCTGCTCCTTTAGGTTTCTACTAAGTTTTTATAAAAGTAGGCTTGATTCGACTTTTTTCGTTCGACTTCCCCTTTTCCTCGTCTCACAGCATTAAATACAATGTTTAAAATCGAAAATTCTTCCATGGCTCGCTTAAACAAACAGCGTCAGGCCGGTACGACCAATGCCAATGGGCAAAATAAAACACGCCAACCCTCGAATGATTTTTGGGCCACTTTGGGCTTGCCCGGATCCAAATTACAAAGCGCCTCCTCGACTCGCCCACCGAATACCTTGCTTACAGCACCTATCCTACACCCAACAACGTTGGATTTCGCCTCTTCTGCCAACTTGAACATCCCTCCGTCGATCTCAATGCCTCCTCCACCAGTCCTAGGCCCCATACCGGCCTCTCCGTCTTCTTCCGCCACGCTGGAAGTGGAAAGCCCAGACGGTTCCTGCTTTTGGACAACCGGAGGCTCTGATTACCTTCCCACTATTGGATCATCAGCTATTGCGCCTCCTTCTATTCCAGCGCCGTTAAATTTGCATCAAGACCGTGTTACAATTCGCAAAGAGAGGGATAAACTGAAAATACAGCGCATCAGCTTAAAAAAAAGGGTAAACATATTGAAAAAACGCCTCATCGAGTTAGAAGAAAAAGATCTTAAACTGGGAGAAAAAGAGGTAGGGTTGTCGCATCAGCCCGCCTCCCTACCCTAATAAGGGATAATCAGCGTTAGGCGCATGGACTTAACTATATTTTTCCGTTTTATACCTGGTTGTATTTCGGACAAGGTTGAAGGAAGCTGTTATAGTTACGGCACGGCACCACTGGGTGGTTGATAGAGTTTATGGCTGATTGGCTGGATATTAGATAAGGAAGGAGACAGGATAAAGACGCGGCCTTCAGCCGCGCCCTTTCCTTCAACCTTTCTTCTCTCCAGCTTAACTTAACAAAAGCTTTATTCTTTATTTTAAAACCTGTAGTTCTCGGCAGCGGCTAACACCTGCCTGCTCGAATTGGCGCGGTCATTACCACGATAGCGGTCCCTCGCAAAGATGAGAAGCTAGCAGATGTTATATACAACCTTGGTTGCCTAAGGCAGGACCTTTCCCTGTTTGTGCCATGTCGCCAATTATTTCGTTTTTCTGTTTCTGCCCCCTTTAAAGGTGCAACAGGTACGCCCGGGGGTGATGATTTGCTCTCGACGATATATCCGACAGGCTTGCTGTTAAACCAACGCCCGGGGCGAAAGGCACTAGTAATTATTTGTCCCGCCAAGTACGTAAATACCTACTAACATCTGCCATGGGGGCGGCCACATTGTTTACGCCGCCGGTAACCCATTGAGGACTCGTCCGTGGGGTTGTGGTGTCCTGTCAAACCAGTTTCTAGGGAGCTGGCACCAACTAAAGTACCGACACCACCAGGTGGACTTTCCAAGCTGTCGGGAAGTTTAGCTTGTACGTTAGGTCATAAATTCGTTCGAATATTTTAAATTGTCCGGCTTTCTTTTGAAAGAACTTCCTATTAGGTTTCCCAGGTAGCTTGTATCCCTCGGGACCCAACGGTAAGACAATTCCCTAGCACGATCCGGAAGTACAAGATCGCCAAAACCGATTGCCTGGCAATCCGCGTTCGGATCCACATCGGAAACCGGCTGTAGATCCCGTTTAACAACGAACTCCAACTCCAAATCCTCCACCGCACACACTACCTGCCACCAGGGGGCACCCTGGCAGGACAAAAACGTACGACCTTACAGGCAGGACTTACACGTGGCCGGGCCTTTAGCGAAGCGTTAGCGCCTTCGTGGCTGCCATTTATACAGGATGGTTAAAGGAAGGAAAAGGACACCGAACAGCCTTTTAAAACCCTTCCCTGTGTTATTCCGGCCGTGGGCGGACATTTTTATAAATTTTGTTAAACCAGTGCCGAAGTGCGAGCGAAACGGCGTGGAATACGAAAACATCCTGGTGATGGCAAACAGGCTAACAAAAATGAGACACTACATTCCCGTTAGCGTTACAAACGCGGGAGCCCTGGCAAACGCTTTCGTCTCGTCGGTTTACCGCTACCACGGGACACTAGACACCATCATATCCGACAGGGGCACCCAGTTTATCTCAGCCTTTTGGAAAGAGCTGTTAAAACGCCTCGACGTTACACACTCCGCACCTCGTTATCGCACCATCCGGAATCCGACGGCCAAACCGAAATCGTTAATGGCTGTTACGACCAGTCATAAGGTCGGAAGCGGGGCCACGGCTGGTGGCCCGGCACGCTGAAGGGAGCAGGCGCAAACGCTTTCCTACCCCGCTCCCTTAGGTTACGTAACAACAGGGTGATACGTCCGCTCGGCGACATAGCAGACATAGCAAGCATCCAGACTAGCACCAAGATATCCAGATTTCCCTGATTCCCTTGGCAGGCGTTACTGTTTAGCATTTCCCTAGGTGTCCTACCTTAGGAGCAAAGGCCTGTTTGTAACACAGGCGGTTAAAAACTGCGCAGTAGTGGTGGCGGTTTCTCTTGTACGTAGACCTTAAAAGGCTAAATATTAATCTGACAGTGTGTGTAGGGAGGTGGCGGAGGCTCCCTTTGCTAAGCCGTAACGGCCAATACTGTAAGCGAGGCGAATGAGGAACGCGGCCTATGTGGAAAACCTTTACCAAGATTTTGGAAAGAAGGTGTTTAAAACGAGTGTGGTCTATCTCGCTATTGTATCCTCTGCTTTTGAGGGAAAAGGGGGGAACTAGCTTCCCCGGCCCCTAAAAAGCCTTAAATGCAGCTACTCTCGCCGTTTTCCAGCCACTATAACGTTTGGCGGGTCGCCGGCCGTGGCTATAGCCGCGGCAAACGCTTACCGCAAACCGTAAATGCGAGATTGGAATTGTAACAGACATTGTGGCCACCAAAAAATAATACGATATTTTTCATTTTTCATAAAACATAATGCTTTCGGCGCGGCCGCTATCCCTGGGCCGGCCTCAAACAGGTTTTGGCCTACCGTCGAGCACCAACAGTTGGGTTGCACTGAAGGATCTGGTCGATAACGCAGCCGCCCAATTTGGAACCAACAGCCCGCAGGCAGCCACCATGTAATAGTACGCCCGCAGCGGCATGTCCGAGAGGTCCTGCAACGCCTCCACGAGCAGGATATGTCACGTTATTAAGCCAGTTCCTCTTATAAAAGCTGGCGGTTTGCCTTAATCTGCGGGTTTTGCTTTCCTCCCATACAGGATTTCCTCTCCTCGCTCCCACAAGGATCGAATGGTATCCTGCCATCCGCTGCAATAATGCCCTCCACGCCAACGAAAAGCCCGCCAGGAGAGCCATTCACTCCTCCAAGCAGCCCTCCATCGAAGGAGGGGACGCCTGGAAGTTTAGGTGGCCTCACAACCATTTCTAGCAACTTTACATTTATGGCGAACCTCGACAACCTGGCGCCCAACGTTAACCATCTTAGCCTCTCGGCTCAGCATTACCATTTTTCGCCATCGCCTGCAAACCCCTTGTCATCGTTTGCGAGCTCTTTGCCAAACCCTGTCCCGTACGACATCCAAAACGAAGGAGCCCCTCCCCACCGATTTTCCGATCCCACATTTCAAAATGCATTAAAGGGTGCGGTAGGCATCGCCAAAGAGCTCGCCAATCTAATAGGGGATTTTCAGGGTACGGAGCCTCCCTATTACGATGCTTTAACGAGGCTTTTAAAAGATGCGCGCAGATTAGGGGAATTTACCGGATTGGAAACACGAATGATTGCCATATTGGGAGATTCCGGCCAAGGTTAGTAAATGATAATGCAAGCCCCAATTGTTAGTTTTTCATTTAAGCATACGAACTGATTTTTCCCAGGCAAAAGCAGTCTCATCAACTCGCTGCTCCACTACCCAAATGTCGCACAGACGGTAAGACCTCCGGACTAGGACCTAAAATAAATTAAAGGTTAACCGGAAACTGTTATTAGGGGGATATCGGTTCGGTATGCACCTCGGTCGTTACCGAATACAGACAAAAGACAAGTCAACAAAGTGCCCCCATTATGCTCGAGGTAGAGTATCTTTCGGGCAGCGAAATCGAAGATATAATTGAAAAGCTACTTTGGAGTTATAGGCAGCTGTACCTGCCGGGCGTTAAATCCGACACCACTCCCGCGGCCGACTATACCCGATACATACGGGAATCCGAGTAGGCCTGGTCCGCTCTCGAGGCCGCCTTCCAGTACCGGCGCAAGTTCTCGAAGGAAATGCTGCAGGACATGTCTGACGGCTCCTTGGAGCGCTTGCGGGATCAACTTATCGGGTGGGCCCGTGACATCGAGTGGCCCAGGGCCGACGACGAGGCGCGAGATGGGATTTGGCGGTCGACGGCGGCGACGGGCGAGGAGTGCTGTAAGAAGACCAGCCTGTTCATGCAGAATAGCTACTGGCCTTTTACCAAGGTCATCCGGTAAAATGCTCCCCCTTTCCTTTCCATACCGGTTGCCTTTTTTGCTCGTGGGTTTATCCGGATCTAACCCGTTCGTACAGCGTTTACCTCGACGCCAAAATACTAAAGACTGGACTAGTTCTTACAGACTTTCCTGGTTAGTATTTACTTTACCCTTCCGTTTTATTTTCGCTAAATAAGGCACCGACACGGATGCAACTTTCGCAGATATCCAAAATACCAATCTCGCCAGGGTGCGCGCGACAAAAAACTACCTGATAAAATGCAATAACATATTTATCGTTACCAACATTTCCGGGGCCATTATAAACCTATCCTTAAAATCTTCGCCCTATAGCGTTTTATCCAAGCACGTTCCCATAATTTGGAACGAAATGGCCGGTAAAGGCCCGAAGGTCGCCGTGGTTCGCACGAAATCGGACGATATTAACCTTAAGGCAGCGAAAGGCGCGTTTTGTGGTCCCGGGAAAGTCATCGATCTTATCGCACTGCAAAATCTGGATACCGGTATCGAAATCGCTAAAAGGAGCGGGGGTCAACATCATTCATTACCTTAAAACACTAAAGCATCGGTCTATCCACCCTTGACAAAAAGCTTAAAGCTATAATGCATGCATTTAAGGGTAAATACTAATATTACGCGCTATATAGGAAGAAAATACTTTTTATTAAAGCCCAGAACGACCACGTCAAAAAGGGTTTGCAACAAGCATACGCTTCCAAAGTCCCTGGCGAAATTCTCGATGTATTTTGCGTATCCAACACCATATACGAAAAGTACACCCCCAAAGGCAACAGGGAACTTGTCGCGGCCAGCGAAATCCCGGACGTCCGTCGCTTTTGTCGCAGCATTACGGCCGAGGCTAGGTATCGCGAGGCGTGCCATTTCATGCATTCGTCCATGCCCAGCCTCCTCAGCACCCTTAAGCTATGGATAAACAGCTACACCGCCAGGGCTGTCGAAACGAATGCGCGAAACGAAAAGCTGAACGACAAGATTCGCGATGCGCTACGGAACGCCACAGCCCAGGTACAGTCGTCCCGCTAACTTCTGGCCAAAGCCATTCCGGTCCTGTCTAACAATCGCATAGAGCAGCTCGTGGGAGAGATGGAAAGCAAGCTCCACGCCGACGCGATAACTGTCATGCGTCAAATCGAAAACGACTTTGAGATTGCGTTCAATAGACTAGCGATAGATGAGGACGGGGTGGTGACAGTGACGACGACGGTGAGCAGGGAGGAGGAGGGTTGGATCTTGCCGAGGTGGCCAGGTTTGCCGAGGGGGTCGAGGATTGCCGGCAACGAGTTTCAAACCTGGCGAAAATGGCGGTAACATTCACCTGAAAGGCACGATAAAGACCGCCCGCTATGCAAATGAAAAGATGCGGTTTAAAGAGGCGTTTTCCTGCCTTAGTTAAAGATTTATTGGGCTGTTTCCATTTCGCTTACTGTCACGGCTCGGCAGCTAGGTACTAGGTTGAAGATCTGTTGTTGCACGGAGGAAAGTCCGCTGGCCCCGTGGGCGGCCGGCGGATCACTGGCTAAATACAGGTGTGCAGGCTTGGTCCCGTGACACTTTGTTTTTAAGGTGGATCCACAACCTCTCACGTGCGGGCGTACGGGGCGCCTTCATGGCTAGATCCATTCCCTTGTCTATGCGATAAGGGTTGGGGTATCCTGCCCTTCCACCTCCTACCAGCTTTGACAGCTGGGGCTGGGGCTGTCCTACTGCAAAAGCGCAACTTGGGGATTTTTTTTAACCAAATCTGGTTCAAAGCAACCCTAATGAGGTAAGTGGCTTCGTTTAATCCTTTTAGCGCTGAATAAGGATTAAAGACCAGGATTTCGACGTAGACACAATACGTGCTGCAGAATTTCCCTGTGTCGGTTGGCGGAAAGGTCCTTCTCTCCATGTGACATCGCGTTTCGATGGCCTGCTCATGGCGTGACCGTCCTCCCCAACGGCCTTTCCCGAAATCCCGTTCGCTCATTTCCTTAGTATTCCACAGCTGCTTGATAATTCCCGCATTTGGACCTGCGAGCGCTACGAGCGACTGTGGAAAAACCTTTGGGGGTACGTTTAATTAGGGTGCAGATAAATGTCGTGAGAAAGGAAGGCCGGCTGGAGGTAGGGCGGCGAGGTGCAAAGAGAAGTCAGCACCGGCCCCACCGCCTGCCTGGCGAATTAAGCTTCCAAATATCAAGTGGCCTTTGCAGGCCGCCTATTTATCTATCTTTTTAAGGGTCCTAATGGCTATGAGAGACTGCGGATCTGTCGGTGACCTGTTCGATGGGGACGAGGCAGGTGCTATCCCGGAATATGCCGCCCCCGGCCAGGCACAAGCTTCCCGCCTTCGCCTTAAAACCCTTGAGAGCGCAAGTTCGACGGTGAGGAGGATGGGTTCGCGGCGATAGAAATTGTCAAAAAGCCGCGGATCAAACTCGAAGCCGACGACGCTACGCCGTGCTTTTTTAAAACCGAGCTGGCGCGGAAGATCTCCCGCCAGATATTCGGTCACGATGGATTTCGTCCGGAGCAGGAAGCTGCCGTATCCAGCATCCTTTATGGCATATATAGGAATCCCATGGTTGTGCTGTACAATTTTTGCAAGTTTTCGCCGCCGAGCTATCACAAATAGTTGAAATCACTAAAGCGCTAAGCAATAAAGGGAGCCGGGAAGGAGAATGTTGGGGAGGAAAGGGCCGGGAAGGAGGGGTTAGTGAGGAGAAAGCCACGGAGGAGGGAGCCGGGGTTTAGCCACAACGCACTTGCACCCGCCTACCAATATAAAGCCGTGCTCACCCTTCATGTTTTCACAAAATCTTCCGCCCGTTGTTATCATTTTCAATCATTTTCGCGCAGCTTCATTTCCACATTCTACCATGGAACAAAAGAATTGTATTACTGTTCAAGCCGATAGAGGTGCTATTTTAGCCAACCGGTCCTCTCGTCCGAAATCTATTGCCCAACATACCATCCGCTATTCTCGAATACTTGCAGCCAAACGTAAAATGGGAACCACCCATCAGACCCTCGTCGAACGACTTCAAGAACAACTCGACATTAAAAACGCCCAAACAGTTAGCCAGAATCAAGAAATTAGCGCCTTAAAGAGGCAGGTAGCGGAACGAGATTCCGAGATCAGCGTTTTGCGGGCGGATATCGCAGAATTCGACCAGGAAGAATGCCTTGAAACACTGTTACGAACACAAGACGAGTTACAAACCGCTGGAACAGCCAACGAAGCTCTTCAAAAGAACGTGGACATCCTTAGCCAAAAACTCGAAAAGGCTTACGGGCAGGTGGAGGAGTTGCAAAAGCGGGCTGGGGAGTTGGAAAGGCAGCTGAGAGGGCAGGAGGTTGCCAGTCAAAGCATGGAAGAACTCTGGGAGAAGCGGTTCGCGGAAGAGCAAAAGCGGATGGAGGAGTTGCTGGCCAGTCGATGGCAGGAGGAGCGACGGCAGGAGAGGCGCCGGGAAATCCGACTTCGGATTTTGGCCGACGGAATGCGACGGAATTGAGGTGTGTTGATGCATGCCTGTCTTTGCCTGTTGGTCGCATGAAAAAAGTACAATGCTTCTGATTGGATACCGTCTGCATGGGCCTTGTTTAATTGGAGGTTTTGTTTCTAATTCCGGGTTGTCCAATAAAAACGACACTTTGCCGCGGAAGTCATCACAGCAAACCACGCCTATCCCCGCATAAGCAGCATCCCTTCAACCCCAAAAACCGCGCTTATCCCCGCATAAGCAGCATCCCTTTAACCCCAAAATATCACGTTGCATGTGTTACCAACAGGTCTTTGCTCCTAGGGTAGGACACCTAGGGGTGGTATTGAGCAGTGATATGGACAAAGGCCTCAAAGGGAACTGGGTAAACTTGGTGTGACTTGCCGTCTCTTAATATTTTATCAGGCGTTTCAAACTGCATCTTTCTCAGCTCCTCAAATTTCCAAAATGTCCGTACACCAAGACAAGTCGCACCATCAACGGTCTATTGCTTCGTCCATACACTCGTCTCGCTATTTTAAAATGTGCCAGTGAACGGACGTAAGCCGTTCCGTCCAGTTCCCCCCCACAAAAACCGTTAACCGAACAACCCCCCAAATTTATAAGGGCACAGCTGCGGTGCCAGCCCCAGGTGGAAATTGTAAGAACAGGAAAGAAATTTGTATTATGTTCCTAACCCACTTCCTCGGTACTGGCAACCTTTTTAATCATATTTGTTCCATCCTAAGTAGGAACGAAAGACGTGTATGTATATAGTTTGTTTTACTGCATCTGAATCTCTTTATCTTTCCCATACATGATGGCTTGTTGAACGGTTTGCAATTTAGCCCCGGCGATGGCGATGGCATCGATGGCATTTTGGAAGGCAAGCCGCGCTTCTTCGACAGTTTCCTCATTCTCTCGTAGGACTGTGTAGCTGCAGAGTGAAGACCGCCGATTTAGGAGACAGTTCGCACATGTCCCGTTAAACTGCCCTGGTATCCTATACCATCCAATTAAATTTTCTGATTGCAGGCAACCTTCACCTGGCTCGATCTTTTGGCCTCGGTTGTGGCATAGGATAGCGCTGGTCGCAGCTTTGCCAATTTCCCCATCTTTTTTAACGGCATACAGAATAGGCTCCAATACACTCATGGGACCTTTAAGGGTCCGAAGCGCTTGCAGATTGGTAATTTTCTTGGGATGATCGCCGTCCCTAGGAATTATCGAGACAGTAACGTCCTCAAAGTCCACATGGTCCCATTCGTACCACACGTCGAATTTAGGATATATAGATATTTTCGAAACACCTTGAGATGCATTGAACAAGGCAGCGTGTTGAGACATTCTTTTCCTTTAATGTAGAATAAGGAGAAATATAATCACGATGTGCTGTAATTTTTCCTAGCTGCAAAGGTTCGCTCCATCTTATGTTTTATAAAAAAACACAGACTTCACAAACCTGATTCCAGTGCTAAAAACGGGTTTCTGAAAACAGTGACAGGAAACTAGCTATATGGGGTCCCTTGGCTTCTGGTGCGCGGAATTTGGCGCAGCTAACGGTTAACCTAACCGGAATGAAAACGCCCGTGGCGCGCTGGGCTAGACGCTTACAAACCCCAAGCTAACCTTTCACGCGCGCGTTCCATACGCATCAAAATGTGTCCCAGTACTTCCAGTACTGGATCCGGGCTAAATACATAAATTTTGCCATAGTAACGTGAGTCCCAGCGATCGTTCGTAAACCAAATTGGTCCCACAGGGCCGTCCCCGGAGGCCATGCCGTGCTTGAAAACCAACGCGGTCTCGTCAAGAAAGTGCTTCTGATGATTTAAAAACACTGCCGGCTCGGAAGCCTTATACGAACAAGGACGGGCTTGGGCTTAAAAATGAGTTTCGGTAGGCAGTAAAAAGGACAGCAGGGAGCTCATAAAAGGTAGCTAACAAGGTAGCCTCGTGCGCTTATCTTTTTTAAATAACACGAGGAGCTGCTTTAGCGAGCTGAAAATTTAAAGCGCGTCAAGCGGCACACGGGCGGCAAAAATATGCGTAAATCATATTTTTAAACGCTGTATATCCCTTCTAGTTACATTATGCCCTTAAAAAGTGTGATAGTTCTTGCTGATTCGCGCGGCTTTAAAGCTTATCCCTTGAGTGTCGCTAGCCCACAATCGTTTCACGACCGAAAGGGATGATCCTATCCCCATTTAACTATCCCTTAATGTGGCACCTTAGCCTACAACAAGCGATATGAGGTCGGATTGGTGCTTGCAAAGAGGGGTAACTGCATTTTAATTTACAAGTAAAGCTAATACTAAAAGGATTTCTAACGGCGTTTGCTCCGAAGTGGCCAGGTATAAACAGACAAGACATCCCCAACGTAAAAAAAAAAAAGATTTCGTTAACAAGCGCAAACACAACAAACCATAACCGGCATCGGACATCCACTACATTTACTTTACCATGGAACGTCAATGGTGGAACATGCCAGATTTTCAATCTTCTTTTCCACTTTCTAGCACGAACGGCCAATTTTCATACGGGGTAACCCGATTTCCAGCCAAAAAAAGGCAGGGAAAGCTACGATTTTTTTGTGACCCCTGCCAAAGAAATTACGGCCGAGAAACGGACTATCAAAGACATGTGAAAAGTTTTCACAATCGCGAGCGAATACATTTTTGCAAGTATTGCAATAAAGGATTTACAAGAAAGGATGTTTGCAATAAGTAAGCATTCTTTAATAACCTAACATTTTTAAGCTCGTTACCTAACCTAACTAGACACGAGCGCTTGCAAATATGCGTTCATAAAAGCGCCCGTCAATTGCAATTACCTCGTTATTCCGAAGCCGCGTCACCGGGCTTAAATCATTTCGAAAGCTCTAAATCTGATTCCATGTACTCAACGAATGCCATATCGGAACTAATCGATGTTATGGCAGTTAACTTTAACTCAGGGGAAGGAACGGTAGTTTTTGATTCGCCAGAGCCGGTTACGAACTTTAATTTGGGGGCGGGTTGTTTGGAACCAATGCAGAATTAAGCGATTGGGGCTTTCGTATATTTTGCTGTTTGGCGTTTCACCTTTTTACTTTCATGTCAATCTGGCGATCTCCGGTGTTTGTATTCCCTTTCAACGAATTTGGCGACTTTAAATAAGTTGTTTGTCATTATAACAGTTTGGGCAAGTACAATCAGTGCAGCTGGGAGTGATACGGCCATAATGTGCGCGTATGTGTATTAGGCTGGTGTTACTGCTGCTTGTTTTTTCGCGGTGCCGTGTACGTTTAATTTAAAGAACGAGGCCACCTTTTCCCCGTTCCCGGTTCCTGTTTCCGGATGCCCGTATCAGTTTTGTGCGTCCCCTCCTAACCCCAGTTCCAATGTACGTTTACTGACAATGCCACGGTGACCAAGGGGTCTTCCTGTTAAGGTCGTCAAGGGGCCCCACGTGACCCCACGTGACGTTAGTTTGCTAAATGGCGCGTCGCCCCCACCCCCCTGCAGGTCGGCTCCCTCCAACAAACCTCTTTCCCTCTCTTTACAGCCGCCCTTACGTCCCGTGATAAACGACCGTGCCGCTTCCCCTCACTTACGCAATGACCCCGCAGTTGCAGCGCTTACATTGAACCAACCAGGTGCGCGGTTATCACAACGCAATCCTTACCTTCCATTTTTGTATTAGCTTTCTTCGTGTTAAAATGGGGCACCCTTTTTGTGCTGACAATTTCATGCACGTGATGAAAGCGGTATGCGTGTTCCAACCGCAGTCACCAATTAAGATTTTAACCTTGTCCCAGCCAACTGGAACCAACCACCGTTATCCCTAAAATGCCGCCCGTCCAATCAGTGGAAAGCAGTTTAACGGTATGGCGATCCTACACAACCATCGACAATTAATAATCCTAATTTAAGCGCCGCAGGCTGTTGATGTTGGTTGTGGGTGGGGAACTCTGATCCCTTCACCCTAGCGCTGTAGGCTGTTAATGTTGGCTGCTAATGGGGAGCTCTTATCCCTTCACCCCCTCCTTTAAAGTGAGACACAACAAAGCATATCTCTCCTTTAGGCCGCTTATGCTTCGGTAGTTTTTCCAATCCAACAGCAAACACCCCTTTTCTATCCACAGCAGAAGCGAAAACCAAAGTATCGCACTCAAACATGTCCAAAGTCGTCTTCCAAACCAGTCCCTCTTGGGAAACTTTAGGAACGGTGCCAACATCACTGCCGCAACAAGCACCTGACACTACTGTCCAAGCCTATAACCCATTTGGGTTTGAAATTACACTAGATTTTCCATTTGGTTTTAACAGCTCCTCCGTTTTCTTCCCATCGCCCGCCGCCGCACCATCACCGGACGATGTGGTACCTGAAAGCATTTACCATAACCCTGGTGCACCATCCTCGCCGGTATGGGCTAATGGTAGTAGCACGCAATTCACAACGCAATTTAACGAAAGGGACGGAGACGGGCCGAACGAATCCGATGAGGCACGCTTACAAAAATGCTCGGTTGAGGGCTGCGATAAAAGATACAAGAGGGCGGAGCACAAAGTCCGCCACGAGAAGGGGTAAGTCCTTTAACCCTTAGAAATAAAGGGAGTAGCGTCTGCCTAACACACAAAATTAGGCACAACGAAGAGGCTACATATGGGTGCCATCCTAACTGCAAACGCAAGTACGTCGTGCGAAAAAGCCGAATTGACAACCTCCGGCAGCATGCCAAGAAGCATATAAAAGGCACCCTCATGGCGAATAAAATCGAGGGTATTGAGCAATGGGTGGAGGAAATGTATCCCAAGGGTAATAGAGGGGGTCGTCGTTGAGCCGCAGGACTGAGGCTGCATTATGGATTCCTGACGTTGGAAATTTGCTGCTGATCGCAGTACAAAGAGGGAGCTTGCCGGCGAGCTGACGTAATGGCAATGTGTTTAACATTCGCACTTTTATTAAGCTTGAAAGATTGTAGTCTCTGAACGCCTTGGCCGCAAAAAAGATGGCCAGCATTGGTAGCATTGCGTTGCAAACCAGAGGCATGTGCACCAACCCCTCGTACAGCGCATGTTCAGGCCTGGACCACAAATGAGAAACAGAATTCAGCTGGCGTTTCAGGGGAGAAAGTGTACCTTTTGTCAAAGGTGTCTGTCGTGCCCTTGGCATCTCGGACAAGCTGAATAGCGAACTCAGCATTATCGTGTTCATTGCGGAACACGCCAAATGTCACGTCCCGTGGCCCACAAACGAGCGCGAATTAAAATACCGTCGCCGCGGTTGGTCGTTCAATGCTGCTTACCTTATAGTACAAGCCACGGCCGGAGCCTGGCCGACAGGACGACTCGATGTACTCGCCGATGCGCGCAAAAGAACAAACGATGGCCATGTAGTCGGCCCAATCGTAAACTCTTGTCGCAGGTTTCTCGTATTCGACCCAGCTGATGCCCAAGATGGACGAAGTGGTTCTTCGTCCCAAACCTCCTAAGTCGTTTGCTCTTCGCCAACCTGATTTTGCTTTCTTGTTTGAGTATTTCGGGCAACTCGGAATTGATGAACTACATCAAAGAAGTCAGCTCGGCTTAGCAAAAAGGATGAGGAATTGCATGTGCAGCAGGGACGTACGTTTGTCACAGTCAGCGTGATGTTAGGGGGGATGGCCTCGTGCTTGCGGCGCCAACCGGCCATGAACTGCTTCCAGTACAGCAGGACTATTCCCTGCCCAGGGTTCGGATCGCCTTCTACGCCGTCGATGCCGAATGCAATCTCCTTAACGAAGTCCTTCAAGGATTTGACCTTGTAAGGGCTTGGCTGGTCTTGGTCTTGAGCATGGTTTTCAGCATACCTACATTGCCAATGCATTAGCAGCTTCAGTAGCGAAAATTCGCATCCAGTGGCGAGGACGTACTGATTCCAGAGGCCGATCATGCGATCGTACTCCTTCAGCACCTTGGGTGTGCCTTTTTTGAAGACAGCAGAATCATTGATCCTCTCGTTGCATTGTTCGGAGCCCGTCGCTTTCCCCTTGCCGAAGAATTCTCGCGGGCTTTTCCTTGGCGCCATTGTAGGATTGGAGTCTGGAACAGGGACGGCTGGCGGTGGGTTGGTCGATCGCTACGAAGTAGGGACGGAGCAAATGCGGGCTGCTGCGGCCTTTTATGGACAGACGCGTATTGAAGCGCCGGCCAGGAGCCAGGAGGCAGCAGGCCGGCGACACTTGCGCAGCATCCATCGAGTGGACAGCCGGGCAATGGGCGCCTGACATGACGGGGAGGGAGCCAGGAACCGGGCCCCCGGCCAATCTGGGCTGAGCCCCTCTCCTGGCAGCGCGGCCGCCGCCGCATTCTCGTCCATGGTGGAAGCACGACTGGAATAAAATCGTCGACAGGATCGGGGGGAAGGTCGAAGCGATGTTGGCTGTGAAAGTGCCATGGGCTGTGCGTTAGTGTGGGAAGGAGGTGGTGTCGTGGTGATTTTATCCCGGAGTGTCGTGGTTCGGCAGTAGGAGCCTCCACCCACTTGCTACCAAAAGGACGACTAAGCCAACGTCGACACTTTGGCTCAATTGGAGGCTCAAGTACCCTCTGTGAGGCAAGGCTGCACGAGAGGGCACGCCACGCCATAACACTACCCCCTCTCCCCCTGGGGGGAGGCCAGCGGGCGCTGTAATGTTTGCTTACCAACATGACTCAGAGGTTGGGCTCAGCGGCGTGGTGGGGTCTTGAACTCCACTGGGCTCAATTGATCCTGTCGGAGGTAGGCCCGTGCCCAATGCACGTGCCCTACCAGGCCCATTTAGCCCTCCCGGGCCTGTGCCCTGCACAGGCTTTTAGCCTAGAGAACAACACAATCCACGTTGCAGGCAGTGTTGCCTGCATTCACCTTCCACAGATCCTTACCAAGATGCACGTGTTCGATCCCCACGGGGCACGGCAGCCATTTGGACTCAGGGCGTGATCTTTTTTTAACGCGCACCTAGCGTTATCTCGGCTGTAGCGTTATTGGGCTACTTCTTGACGTGCACAACGTGGCAGGGATAGTCGATGTATCTTTTTATGCCTCGTTCGTGCGTTCCTTGGCGCGGGCACAGGGGCCAGGGGTCGGGCTGGACCGTTTTGCGGTGTTTTGTATGGGGGGGATCCAATGCGAGTGTTGACCTCCGTGCCGTCATCAAGAAAACAAAAAATAGCAAAATGGCCTCCCCAATATCAACGTTGTTGTATGCCGAGGGCAACGCATCTGGGAACAACGAGCCCGACCTTACGGCCACCGACGATGCCGTCGATCGAGAGCCCTCGCCAGGGCCGGCACCAAACGGTCGCGAGACGCCCTCGCAAGCCCTTTCTCAGCAGGAGCCGGCACCGGAGCCGGCACCAACTGCCGCCGCCACCGCCGCTGGCACCAAGCGGAAACGCCCTGCTACGGATCCCAACAAGAAAACAGTGCGGTTTTCGTGGAACACCCAGCAAACCGCTGCTGTCATGGGGTGGCTCCTCGTGGCAAGGCAGGAAGGGCTTCTCGCCGTACAAAAGAGGGCACACTTGGCCGTGGCGTGGCGACGGTGCTTGAACTGGCAAAGGCGGCTTGGGGCGAGGCGGCAGTTGTTAACTTGGTGGAATCGAAGATTGCCGACAAGTATAACAACGAGAAAAAGCGCTACCTGGCGTGGGCGCGCTGGTTAGCAAAAGCGGCCGCAGTTACGATACCGAGACGGGCGTCGTTCAAGGCGTTGATACTACCAGTGCGGAATGGAAGAAGTTTGCTGCCCACGTTAAAGGAACCGCCGTGGCGTGGATCGCACTGGGCCAGCCGCTGGGGAAAGTAAGCACTTACCAAGCGCTGTGGGTAACGGATAGGGCCAAAGGCGACCATATCCAAGAGTCCGCCGGTGACGCCGTCATCCCGCCTGCAGCTGGGCTTGATCCCTTTGCTGACGGGATGCCTCCTCTACGGCCGCCGCCGCCGCCTCTGGCGGAAAGCATCGTTAACGCGGACGTGGATGACGACGAGGAGAACGACGGCGAGGCGGAGGAGGGCGGCGAAGGAGGTGGGGATAAAGGCGAAACGGCCGAAGCGCGGCGGCGGAGGGAAACTGATCCGGATTTAAATCCGGTATTGTTAGCTGGCGACGGCGAGGATTGGGAGCGCGTGAACGTACAGCGTGGGAGGCCGAGGCCGCCGTTAAAACGATACCCGTCGTTGCCGTCACCGTTCCCCATTTTCGGCTAACAGCAGTTCTGTTACGGGCGTTACGGCCCCGGGCCTAAGTGCGGGCATTGCGGCAGGCGTCGCCGTCGCCAACAGTCTCGCGAGTATCGCTGCCGCTATGGTAGCTGGGAACAAGGACGGCGCACTTACTGCTGCCGCCGCTGACCTCCGTCAGCGGTATCAAGAGACGCGGCCGCCGCGCGAGATCCTCCGGGCTTGCAAGCGGCTACGTGACGACGGCAACGTGGCTCTCTGGAATGCCATGGTGTAACACCCCACAGGGTGAACGCTCCGCAGACAGGGTTTAGGGGCTGGCGAGCCTCTAGAGAAACTCAAAGATGGAAGGCTTGCGGCGTGGCAAGCCACCATGTCCAAGCCCCAAAGAAGGATCATAGCGTGGTGGCCGGAGGCCGCTACAGCATCATGTATAAGTAGGGCTTGCAAGACCCCCTGTCAAGGGGATCTGGAGGGCAAGCAACCGTTCTTGTGTTTAATGGTTCATCCGCTGAATGCATTATCACCTTGCACATCTTCCAGACCGCTGAATGACCTGAACCTCTGAGATCTCCCCTGGAGAACCCCTTCTAGTGCACAGCGCGTTACACACCGGGAGTTCAAACACGAGGACGACAACCCGTGCCTTTGCGGGAGAAACAAATCCCCTTCACACCCTGTTTTCTGCAACCTGGCCAAGGCAACAGAAACAAATGGCCTATAGCGGACCCCGCCCCAACCTTTGACAGGCCTGGGTACTGGAAACGGCTGCTACAAAAGCCCCTCCTTTTTGCTTCGTTCGTCGAAGTCACAAACTACTATACTATCGCCGGACGATAGCGACAAGGCCCAAAACGCCTACACATAACCCATTTCCTACATTGTTTACCCCTTATACTTCTTGCTCTTCCCTTTGCACTTATTTCCTTTTCCCTGTGCACTTTTACTTTTTCCTTTCTACTACCTGGACCAACAGTAGGCTCGTCGGTCCCCCACAACTCCGGCCGGACCCAGGGGTGGTTTTAAAAACCCCCCCGCTACAACCCGGCCTTACCCCCTTTCCGGCACATTTGCCGGCCGAACGCACTACTACCACCCGCTGCGCTTTCAACGCCCTGGCGTTTATATACGCCCTACTGCCGATTGCCCGCTCACTAACAAGGAGCGCCGGAATGCGGCCCGACCTCCGTGTGCCGTCGGGCTTAATTTGTTAGCCGCCGCAATAGCAGCACTATAACCTGGTGTAAATAGCTTAGGTAGCGCTAGCACGTCGTATGCCCCTTGGGAGGCAGGGACTGGTAGATCCCGACTTACCGACGTTAAATATACTCATTCACTCACTCACTCGGTGTTCGGTGCGCGTTCTGTGCGTCTTGACAATGGTCGGCCGTGTGGGTCTGTCTTGGCCTGTGGCCTTGACCCACACCGTTACACTT